GTTCGAATCTTTAAAGAATGGGAACGTTGCTGACGTATTTTCCGTTAGTCTCTGCATACATCCTCCATAGTGGCGAAAGGAACTCTGTCCAGATAGTGTGTCGCTTCGCTTATCTTCTCCAGTCATTCAACGAAAGAATTCAAATCAGTAGTGTCTTGTTCTCCGTGGGTTTGTATAGAAATGTTTCTCAATCTGCTTTACTCGTGTCCTGGTGCAAGTATCCTGAATACATCCAACCCGAGATTCTCGATTGACTCTCTCTGCAATTCTTGCTCGATGTCTGCGTGTAGACATCAAAACCCATGTATATCGTCGGCAGCTTTCATTCTCGTAAAGCTGCATAAAAGGATAGTTCGGAGGCTTCACCAAGACAGTTTTTTAACCACATTGTCTTTGTACCAGGGCCATACCATCTAAAATCACAGCAAGCTGAGTTTGCTGGATCGATTCTCTGGTGGCAAATTTTCTTAGCTTTAGTAGTATGGCCTGTTTCGTCTTCCTCATGTTTCATCCAGATTTCCGTTTGCCAACGCCCATGGATTAGCCGAGACGATGGAGAGCACGTCTTTCATTGTCAAGCTTTCTTGTTTGTCCAATCAGAGGACATTTGGCAAATAAGATTTTATCTGCGTTAATTCATTATCTACCTGAACTCGTCCTGTTTTGTAGTTTCTCTTTCACCGTTATGTCACTAATGCTTTTCAGCGTTCGCTTCTTCAATGGCTCAAAGAAACCTGGGCTTCATCTCCCACACCTCTCTTCTCGAAGAGTGTCATAGCAGCTTGGCCTTATTCCTATCCAAATAGATGCACTACTATGGTCCAGCTGTAAGCTGTGGGCCAGTGAGTAGACTGACTATTTCAGAGTGGACACGAATGGGTTGATCAGTTCGACTTCAAGCAGGCTTACCAGTACAAGTGATATCCTTTCAAATCCTTGTTTATTCCTGGTTTGGCTCAGCATCAGTAGGGTGCCTGAAGGCAGAGTTACCACCCCCCCCCCCCCCCCCCCCCCCTCCATGCATTTCGCAATAATCTAAAAATGAGCCTTCTGTATTCCGCCATGAGTAATGTCCCTGATGGCCCTGGCTTAATATTAAAGCCTTGGTGCCGCCGCTGTCTGAGTGTCTTTGTTTAATGTTCTTCGACTACTTGATTCCCCAAGCGTTGACAATCTCCGCATAGTACTTGACATATATCCTGGCATAATCTGGTTTCATAGGCGCAGTCACCACGAATCATGTGTGATTGCAAGATAATGCAACGCCAATTCCCCTCTCGACAAGCTTCGCAACAGGTTGAGTATATTCGTCTGTATCTGTCCAGAAAAACATGAAGTGCAACTATATGATCTGCAGTTTTGCAGACAATGTCAAAATAGCAAGCTGAAGACGACAATGATGTTAGAATTTCGATGGCAATTGATGAACGATGAGTATGAATGATAGAATAAAGCTAGCTAACAGACACGCTGTCGAACATCAGTCATGGTAAGCACTTGCCCATGGCACAACCTTGTCTATGTAAATGTAATTGTAAATGTAAATGTAATTGTAAATATGTAGGTGATTCTAACATAAGGCCTAGTACACTGTAATCAAAAACCTACTGACCCTTTTACTTTCTGAGTTCTTATTCTTCATTCATTGATCATGATTGTATGACCTAATAGTTGAGAAAAATTTGACATGGTGTACACAGGTACGGCGCTCAAGGCAGAGTGAATTTGTTATTAGGGTACTGTTAAAATCAATAATCTGGTTGAACATAATCAACACGGGCCCCAGTTTCAATAGCAAAACCTGGCAAGGACTACGAGCACGGAAGGTGACTGATTTTATAATGTTTAGTATCCTGTAGTTGATTCAGATAGAAAAGAGTTCCGCGAATATGTAGTGTCTTGTAACCAATGTTTGGCCTGCTTTTGCCGCTAAAAATACGACAGGATAAGAAAGTGCATGCCAAGCTAGACCTTTGTGGGCCTAATTAATTTGAAATTCACATTAAAAAAAGTATAAGATTGTATCAGGAGATATGCCTATACCATATTGGCAGTTTAGTTTTTCAAATTTCAGCCAACTAATTCAAGCATTGTCAAGTTTTTACATTTTTGGCTATTTTAGCGCCCAAAATAAGGCAATTTTAAGAAATATGTCAAAGACTCGTTCCATACCATAGCATAAGATAAAAATAACAGCAAACTTTTAGTTGTTTACTATTAAATCAACTTATCTACATCTCGTTTGCTGCCGGAATTAGACACAGCTCAGACCAACAATAACATTGGTAACGGATACTGATAGGGCATTTTCTGACAGGGGGTCCGATTTCTTAAAGCAGGGAGCGGTCAAAGTTTCATGACCTTTTGACCTCTGCTGAGGTTACATATCATAAACAGATTTGTGCATATGATGGAGGTATTAAGTGTAGAGGACAAAACTACCAACATTTTGAGGCGGTCATTTGGTCACTGTATGTGCCATTCCTTGCAAAATTATCAATTTTTAATTGTCCCCTACCCATAATTAGCAGTCGTGTGCCTCCACCAACGAGTGACCCATATATCAAGTGCAATCTTCTACCATTAAGCTGTGAGTCATCGGCTTGCCTTCATGGTTTTGTTTTTCATTCTATGGACAGTAGGCCCTTTCAAAAAAATATAGTGAGATTTGCCAACCCCAGGTGGTACCAGATTGATGAAAGTTGGGGGTCTGGCTCATGGACTATTTATGGTCTGAAATGTTTGTTTTGCTTTTTTGGTGCGCTACATATAATCGCATTGCCTAACAGATTTATAATAAGTGTACAATGTCTCAATGAATACAATTGTTGTAAAAAAAAAGATGAAAAAGATAAATGAAAAATTTTGATTCGGCCCCTTTTTGGTGAGTCGGTCGGGTGAGGGCAAACAAACAATATTTTTATTATGGCCCTACCGTTATTGGGTCACTTATATTGTATATATTTATTATTATTGATATTTTTTTAGAATGGTGGTGTTAAACAAGATGAACTCACTAGTCAAGGAATGGATTAAAAATATTGCTATAGAAAAGGTTAGTATTGGATAAAAATAATTGGAAAACAGTTTTGAATAGAATAATGTTAATGCTTATCTGTGTGGGTGGGTGAGTGAGTGTGTGCATGTGTGTTCATGGCTGATTTGGTACACGTAGTGTGTGCACATGCGTGTTTAGAAGGCAAGCGTCGTGTTATGCATACTTCAAACGAAAAGTAAAAAGAATCGTTTAACTTCAGTGATTTTCTTCTAGTTATACAGACTGTAATGTAGAGTACTGTTTCCTGTCACATATTTAATATTTTATGCTTGTAGCTTTCTATTATAAATTCTTGGTGCCAATTTATAGAGTAGACAGTGGTGAACTGCAGCGTGAGAAACTAGCGGTCCGGCCCATACGCCAGTTGTCCGCACTCTCAATTACCGGGCGACTGCTTGCTGGATGTCAGCTGGTCCGGCGGGGCGAACTTAGATAATTCGCCCTCACACTTCAGAACGCATCAACGACATGATGTCGCACACGTATATAAAAACTCGCGACAGTCTAAGAAATGCGGTGTGCCTACATCGCCGGGCAGCCCAGAGTTTTATATGGCCCACATAACAATAAGTTTTGTTGATCGCAGGGGGTTATCGTGGGGATGAGCGGCGGACGACCGAGTGACACCTGACACGCAGCAGTAATCAACCTGGTAACTGAAATTCGTCAGCCTTTTCTTAAAGTAGAAAGTGGACTATTTTGTATTCAGTTAGATATCTAGAAGCAATATTCTAGAAGTATGATTCTAGAGTTCTACGGCAACTTGGTAACTTTGCCGGATGTGCGGCGAGCAGTTGATCTTGCGATGGGGTACCTGGACTGGGAGGAGAAAAACGGAAAGTAAAAACCTTGCCAGGAAGGCTCCCGGCATTGCCTAGAGATTTGCCGAGTACAAGATTTTTAACATACTCAAAGTAATATAAAACAACGCTCTGAAGTTCTGAACTTGCTCCAGTCGCGATGCTAAAAAGAGAAGTTGAAAGATGAAGAGAATGAAGCTAAAAAAAAAAAGAAGAAAACTTGTGAAAAATAACCATACATCATTATACCATGATTATAATTCTTGATTTCCTTCTTTGTCATATGTTACCTGACTATGTGTACTGGTGATAGTGGCATGGTCTGTCGTCTGAATTGAAATGAATAACGATGTGATTGCTTGCTTAGTCGGAGTGAAAATGAGATAAAAAAAATGTGATCGATGTAATTTGTTGACTGATTTCCTTTTAAACACTGATAGTCTCATTAAATGGTGAAGCTCAAAGAACGACGTATTGGCTTAAGGGTAGTTATATTGACGTTAGTCACACTGCGCTGGCTCTGAAGTGGGCTGAACTGCTGGATGAATAATATTAGAGTCAGGCATCAAAATTATGAAAATTTTAACAAGAATCATGCTATGAAAAAGTAGCGTGGCCAAGGCCTAAATAGCTCCCGTAAAAAAAAAGAAAATTTTTATGGCTGCGCCGCACAGGGAAATCAAAACAATTACCAAAACTTATTATTTTTTGTATTTTCTAGCTAAACGTTCTACATTATTCTAATGAAATGAATGGTAAATTTAATCAATATAGACTCCAAATAGTCAAATTCGAAGCCTAAGGTCCATGCGAAGTACACAAACTCCATGTTTGTTGTGTTCGATTTTCTAGGTCATGCTGTTAAACCTCTGCTAATTCGATAATACTGGGCATCCCCGACCAATCACTGAATCAGCCAGCGATCACGTAATAAAATATGACAATTTTGATGATAATAGGAATAATGGCCGGTCTTCAGAGACCGCTGATCTTTGAAATCGACTTGCGGACTTGTTCCGATTTACTACGCATCAGTGTATCGAAACGTGTAAAAAATATAATGTCTAAGAATACCTTAGAATGCACATCACCAAATTTCACCATCCCCCTCCCCCCTATAAAAACGTCCCCACATCCGAGTCATTCACTTTGCTATGACAGAAATCCTGGACCAGTGCCTACTGACCAGGACCAGTGCTTCCTCAGAGGCACTGGTCCTGCTGGACCAGTGCCTCCAATTATCAGTTTTTCACCCTGGACTGATAAGTGTAAATCATAATAAATGAGTGCAATGAATAATATATATGTATGATAATACTATATATTGACTGGCTGGTGGGGGGGGGGCATAGTTAGAATTTCTCCATGTTACAATCATTGAAATTTGTGTCCTGCAGAATATGCCGCCTAACGTTGCAGAAACACTTGGTGGAAAGATTTACACCTTTGGTTCTTACAGACTTGGAGTGCACACAAAAGGTTAGTGCTACTGATACATATGGCTCATATCCTTCGTAGGATTCAAACTGTATACATCCTCTCCTGATTCACAAACCATTGAAACATTTATGGAGAATAGTTTACACTACCTACCTAGACACAGATGAAAAACTGCAGGTTTTACTAAACTTTTGCCTGATGAACTATGGTCAGTCGCGATGGTGTTGGTAACTCTGTGCTACATTGAGGTGTTTGTAAACAGGTGCTGATATAGACACGTTGTGTGTAGCACCCAGACATGTCGACCGGTCAGATTTCTTTTCATCATTCGTCGAACTGTTAAAGAACCAACCAAACGTAAAAGATCTCAGGGTATGTTGTTGTCCGCTTGTGGTGCCGGCGTTAGCATAATGTGGTTTTTTTCATTGCATTTGATTATCTGTAATGTACTATTTTCTTGCCTTAAAAATTTATGTTTGAGAGTGATCATCTGTGTTAAGAAGCAAGTTAGAAGTAATGTGTTTCTACATGTGTTCATCCCACCACATCTTTGAAAAATTATGTAATTCTTGGCTTGACTTTGCAAACCTGAGGTTGTTCAGTTTAACCTTCTTGTTTAGTTGGTTTTACTTCTCAATAACTCGATTTTATTCCTCAAATTTTACTCAAGAATCATGTTTGCTGTACTGTTACTGGAGAATTCTATAGTTGGAATTCTCAGATAAAAAGAACAAACAAGTTGCATTCAAAAGATAATTCAGTGGTTATCCTATCATAGGCTGTCGAGGAGGCATTTGTTCCTGTGATAAAGTTGGTGTTTGACGGCATAGAGCTTGATCTAACATTTGCCAGACTGGCACTGAGAGAAGTCCCTGACGATCAGAGCTTACAGGATGACTCGCTTCTGAAGAACCTGGATCCAAAGTGTGTTCGAAGTCTAAATGGTAGGTGATGTTGTCATCATGTCAGCATAGTCACAACATTATCCCAGGCTCGATATTAAGAAACTGCAAGGAAAAAATTCAACTGGACTTTCTAATAATGTGTGTTATGCGTGTGTGCGTAGGTATGTACATACATATATGTATGTATGTTTGTGTGCATGTATACGTGGATTGACAGCATATTCTTACACTGATTTTTAATGTAATGTCTCTATTGGCATCTATTGCCAATACGGGATTACGGCGCAAGCACCAGTCTCGACTAATCACGACCAAGTGCATCACAGCAGCAGCAGCAGCAGCAGCAGCAGCAGTAGGACAAGCGGCAAATATATAAATAGATGCAGGCATGAATACCTTTGTGCTTGTGTATACAACTGCTGTGTGAGCCAAGCACATACTGACATATATGGTTATACATACAGTAAAACTCGCATAAGTCGTCATCGTCTAACTCGTCAATTCACATAAGTCGTCATGGAAGTCAAAGTTCCTATTTTATCTCATAGTAAATCCATTGGAATAGCCCCGCCTAAGTCGTCATTATGTACAAGTCGACGCCATCAGACAGGGCCCATGTAAATTGTAATACAAACAACAATAATTTCCCATCTGTAAGTCGTCATCAGAAATGCCGATGGCGCGCGCAGTGTACGGTCTAGGGGATGTGCGAGCTGGCTGTCCCAGCTTTCATTTTTAGCTCACCTTGACATCGTAAAGCTGAGCTATTGCCATGGGTCGTCGTCCGTCGTACGTCCGTCTGTCCGTCCGTCCGTCCGTCCGTCAACATTTCGCTTCGGTCAACGATAACTCAGGAACCGTTTGGCCCACATGTTTGAAATTGGGTATAGTTGTTACTGCTATGCTCCCATATTAAACGTCCTATTTTCCTATTTGGATTTTTCTCATTTTTGGTATGTGAATGAATAAGGGCTAGGGGTTTTGATATTGAAAATTTTTTATGCAAATTAGGTAGGGTTTGGCAATTATATAGCATATTTTATAGACACAAACAGTCTGTGGTGTCACACTCGTCTGGTTCGTTTTACAAGATTTCATTGACAATATCTTTAATGCAAAATTGGTATTTCCTCTCCACCCTGCGATAAAACGTCTATATTAGAGTAAGATTTACAAAACATGTCGGAATGCAGCATAACCTATTTATTTCCAACGCCATCGCTACAAAGCGGGTATAGCGCATCTACGGCTCACAAATTGTGATTCTTTTGGTTTATAAATTATTATTGCGATATACAGATGGCAATCGTGTTCTATAATGTACGTCGATTGGTTGCTCAATTAAAACTGACTTCTTCTTACTCACTCATTTGTGTCCTTTTTGTGGTGAGCTACAGTGTCATTAACACTTTCATTCAGCTTGCAAATCCCCCAGATTCTCCAGCCCAATGCAGGGGGCAAAGTTAACGCGAGTCCGGAGTCAAATGCTCCCTGATTTACTGCCGGACTCCCTGATTTGACATAATAATGCAGGAGTCGCGCGCAGGAGTCCGCGTGACTTCCTGAAAATTCTGCGATACTAACTAGTTCATTCCAGAGCACGGCATCGCGGAATTACCCGTATTTTTGCTCACCTTGACATCGTCAGATGAGCTATTGCCGTGGGGCGTCGTCTGTCGTCCATTCGTCCGTTCGTCCGTCCGTCAACATTTGGCTACAGTCAACGATAACTTGAGAACCGTTTGACTCACATGTTTCAAAATTACATACAGTTTCAGGGCTTGAAACTAACGCTCGCCCGCCCCCGGAGCTAGTAGAAATCAGTAAGGCGCTAGTAGAATGTTGGGCTGACCAGCCCTGTTGGCGAGTGGGAATGCCTACCAGATAACATATTACTAATACTTTTTCAGCAACTACTAACTTGGCCGAACTAGTAATAAGTAATGTAAAATTTGCGTGTGCAAACATAATAAAATTGCATAATAAAAACATAATAATATATTCACGATACCTCAGACAATAAAATCGGTTCCAACCGCCATGCTGCTCTATTCATAGCTCATGCCAATCCCCTCACAGTGTAATGTTTATACGCAATACGTTTCTGTTCTACTTTCTGTTTACGTTCGTGGACCGGTTAGTTTATAGTGCAGTGACCGAAGCTGAAAAAGGGCTCTATTTAAGGAGATACCCCTACCGGAGGTATAACAAGCTGGGACTGGTCTCATTTTAACGTCTGGATCCCTAGTTTATGAAAAGACATGTTTTAGTTGCAGCAACCTTGTACACATGCCGAATTAACCTTTGTTTCGGTAACATCTGAAAAATGACATTCAGTTACTTGCTTATTTTATGAAATCAGCCCCATTATATTTTATAATTGATGGTTATATCAATGTATTTCATTGAAATAGATATGTAGCAATGTATTTGAGGCAGTTTTATGCTGCTAAGGGGGTTAAGGGGCCAAAATTATACTATATTATTGGCATTTTTTTGGCAATTTCGACCAAAATAATGTATATTTTCTTGCACTACTACACAATACATGTTTATCACTGTGTCAGATCTGACTGTATTCATGGGCCTAGATGTTGCTATTGATAAAAAAATTAGTTTCAGCATGGGTAAACGGGTTAGAACATCGTACATTAACGGTTCAACCCTTGTTTATGGTAACATCTGAAAAACTGACATTTTCAGTTACTTGCTTATTTTATGAAATCAGCCCCATTATATTTTATAATTAATGGTTATATCAATATATTTCATTGAAATAGATATGTAGCAATGTTTTTGAGGCAGTTTTATGCTGCTAAAGGAGTTAAGGGGCCAAAATTATACCCCAAATTTGGCTTTTTTTTTTGAAATTTTGACCAAAATAATGTATATTTTCTTGCATTATTTCACAATACATGTTATCACTGTGTCAGATCTGACTGTATTCATTGGCCTAGATGTGATATGTGATAAAAAATCAGTTTCAGCATGGTAAACGGTTACAACATGGTGCATTAACCCCTTATTGTGACAGACCTTAAACTACTTTTTCAGTTTACTTGCATATTTTATAAAATCAGCCATGCAGATGTTTAGAACTGATGGGTTTTTATCAATGTTTTTGATTTAGAAATATAGATAAAAGCAATGCATTTTAGGCAGTTCTATGCTGTTAAGGGGGTTAAGGGGTCAAAATTATACCCCAAATTTAGCATTTTTTGGCGATTTTGACCAAAATAATGTATATTTTCTTGCACTACTAAACCCAATACATGTTATCACTGTGTCAGATCTGACTGTATTCATGGGCCTAGATGTGCTATTGATAAAAAAATTAGTTTTCAGCATTTGTAAACGGTGAACATGGTACATTAACCCCTTGTTTACGGTAACATCTGAAAAACTGACATTTTCAGTTACTTGCTTATTTTATGAAATTGGCCCCATTATATTTTATAATTGATGGTTATATCAATGTATTTCATTAAAATAGATATGTAGCAGTGTTTTTGAGGCAGTTTTATGCTGCTAAGGGGGTTAAGGGGCCAAACTTAGACCCCAAATTTGGCATTTTTTTGGCAATTTCGACCAAAATAATGTATATTTTCTTGCACTATTCCACCAATACATGTTATCACTGTGTCAGATCTGACTGTATTCATGGGCCTAGATGTGCTATTGATAAAAAAAATTAGTCTTCGCATTGTAAACGGTAGGAACATTGGTACATTAACCCCCTTGTTTACGGTAACATCTGAAAAACTGACATTTTCAGTTACTTGGCTTATATTATAAATTGGCCCATTATATTTATAATTGATGTTATATCAATGTATTTCATTGAAATAGATATGTAGCCAGTGTTTTTGAGGCGTTTTATGCTGCTAAGGGGGTTAAGGGGCCAAACTTAGACCCCAAATTTGGCATTTTTTTGGCAATTTTGACCAAAATAATGTATATTTTCTTGCACTATTCCACCAATACATGTTATCACTGTGTCAGATCTGACTGTATTCATGGGCCTAGATGTGATATTGATAAAAAAATCAGTTTCAGCATGGTAAACGGGTACAACATGGAACATTAACCCCTTGTTTACGGTAACATCTGAAAAAATGACATTTTTAGTTACTTGCTTATTTTATAAAATCAGGCCCATTATATTTTATAATTGATGGTTATATCAATGTATTTCATTGAAATAGATATGTAGCAATGTATTTGAGGCAGTTTTTATGCTGCTAAGGGGGTTAAGGGGCCAAAATTACCCCAACATTTGGCATTTTTTTTGGAAATTTCGACCAAATAATGTTATTTTCTTGCACTATTTCACCAATACATGTTATCACTGTGTCAGATCTGACTGTATTCATGGGCCTAGATGTGCTATTGATAAAAAAAATCAGTTTCAGCATGGTAAACGGGTACACATGGGTACATTAACCCTTGTTTACGGTAACATCTGAAAAAATGGCATTTCCAGTTACTTGCTTATTTTATGAAATCAGCCCCATTATATTTTATAATTTATGGTTAATATAAGAAAGTTGCTGCACTGAACATCGAAATCAATGAATCCGAATGTAAGAACTTTGTTCCAGAGACATTGTACGATTTGATAGCATGGTGCACCTCGAAGGAATCTTTTGACAATGTTAGACACTGTGACTCAAGTGATGCTGACATGAGAGTGCTTGGTATCTGTCACAGTATCATTTCTCAGTCCTGTAAGATGCAAACACCCATTACATTTGGCCTTGGTGTTCAGATGCACCATGAATATGGGAGGAAGGAGCTTATAGACGTTCTCTGTACAGTGGGATATTCCATAAACTATAATGACGTGAGAAAGTTCTTAACATCAGTAGCTCTTAATCCACTTTCAGTACCATCTAAAGTGCAGGTTCCTCGTGGGATTTCACAGTTTGATCCTAGAAACCTTGAATCAGTCAGTGATGCTGCCATCGATGACTTTGATCATAATGAGGAGACAGTTGATGGGAAACGCACTACACATGCCATGGCTGTTGTGTTGTACCAACGATCTCCACTCAGTCATGATATGTCTTTGATTTCTTGTACAAAGCTGAAATACTTGGATACTGAGCAGTACAAGGAACAACAACTCCAAGGCTACCGCAGGTCTGCAAAGAAGCCATAGCCCACTGTAACCTATCAAGTGGAGGATGAAACGTCGGTAAGGTCATAATAAAAGATTTCGTATGGCAAGTGGCAAGGCCTGTGGAGATGGTGAATCTTAGCCATTCCGGCGTGGAGTGATTCAATGCCCTCGTCAGTACCAAGACTGTCCCCGTTACTGATACGATATCTTCCCTTCATCAATGCCTCACCATCTGACTTGTCAACCATTTTTACCACTTCGTTGAGGCTAGTGCACATATCTGAGGAGTGTGGGCAGCATCACATACTCATTACAGCAGACCTTGCCATCTACAGCAAGGCACATCATATTCTGTGGAGCAGACCAGAACCACTGGTGGGCAAAGTAACGATGAGGCTGGGAGGAATGCATCTGATAATGGTTTTCCTGGCGAGCATTGGCAAGATATTTGGAGGATGGTGGACTTCGATCGGTATGATAACGTGTCATCTATCAAGGACCACAGAACGCCGAGCGGTGGGGTTCTTTCCAGTTTGTTACCTACTTTATAAGGTCCAGGGGAGCAGACAAGTACTAACTACAGAAGGTTTCTCAAGGAATCGGAAACAAGGCAAGCCTGCGAATTATATCTCACAGTATATCTTGGAGAATGCAGAAGAATATGTTCCCAACGACAAATCATTATCTTGGCAGGAGGATTTAGTGAAGGAACTCTTGTGAAGGTGGTTGGCTCCATCTGGAGCGTCATCTGTTGATACTTGTACAGTAACAGGAGGAGGCCGATACACTTTATATCCTGCATGCCTGTGCACTATCAAAGGACCATAATAGAATCATAATCCGCTGTGATGACACAGATGTTCTTGGTCTTGCTGGTTTTACTATGTCAGCAGAGGACAACTGGCTGACTATGTGTACCTGTATGCTGGTCATCAGAAAGGAAGATGCTTCCTGTTCATACAATTGCGAATGAACTTGGCCCAACAATATGCGAGTGCCCCTGCTGCTCATGCCCTCACAGGATGCGGCACCACATGTTCAATGAACAGGATAGGAAAGAAAACGGCGTACTCGAAACTGGTGAAACATGCGGACAGTCTGACAAACCTCAAGTCATTCCATGAAGACGACATAAAGGAGAGCATCACGGTAGCCCGTAGCTACACACTACTCCTCTACGGGAAGAAGCAAATGGACACACTTGATGAGTTGCGGTACATCATGGCTACAATGACAGACAAGTATGCATCCATGCTTCCTCAAACAGTAGATGCCTTCCAACAACATGTCCTGCGCGCAAAGTACCAAACACGGATTTGGTGCAGGAGTCACATCCCCAACCAAGAGTTGATCGAACCGGTTGGCCATGGTTGGTCCGCTTGTGATGATGGAGGCATTACACAGACGTTGTTCACTCAGCCATCAGCTCCAGTTGAAGTTCGAGACCTGACACATTTCTACTGCACAGACAAAGACTGCTTGAGTGCGAGGAAATGTCCTTGTCTCCTTGCTGGACTAGAGTGCATCGATGCTTGTTCATGTACTGACTGAAAATCAGAACACCATACCAGAAGAGGGAAGTGGCACATAGATTTGTGTTGATAAGTGGCTATTGACATCATGGCCCACAGTGTTATGTAACCATTTAGCATTGTTGTAAACAGGGTTCATGTACCATGTTGTACTCAGCCTTCATCATGCTTCAACTGATTTTTATATCAATGCTACATCCAGACTGATGGATATATAGGCCTTCAGTCAGGTAGACCTATGATACTATTGTACCATGTATTGGTGGCAGTATGCATGGAAACGTTCTTTATTATGGTAAACATTATCAAAATTGCCAAATTTTTGGTATTATTTTGGGCCCTTAACCCTTTAACAGCATAGAACTGCCTAAAATGCATTGCTTTATCTATATTTCAATCAAAAACATTGATAAAACCATCAGTTCTAAACATCTGCATGGCTGATTTTATAAAATATGCAAGTAAACTGAAAAAGTAGTTTTAAGGTCTGTCACAAATAAGGGGTTAATGCACCATGTTGTAACCGTTTACCATGCTGAAACTGATTTTTTTTATCAATATCACATCTAGGCCCATGAATACAGTCAGATCTGACACAGTGATAACAATGTATTGGTGGAATAGTGCAAAAAATATACATTATTTTGGTCAAAAATTTCCAAAAAAAATGCCAAATTTGGGTATAATTTTGGCCCTTAACCCCCTTAGCAGCATAAACTGCCTCAAAAATATTGCTACATATTATTTCAATGAAATACTATGATATAACCATCAATTATAAAATATAATGGGGCTGATTTCATAAAATAAGCAAGTAACTGAAAATGTCAGTTTTTCAGATGTTACCATAAACAAGGGGTTAACCGTTAATGTACCATGTTCTACCCGTTTACCATGCTGAAACTAATTTTTTTATCAATAGCACATCTAGGCCCATGAATACAGTCAGATCTGACACAGTGATAACATGTATTGTGTAGTAGTGCAAGAAATATACATTATTTGGTTCGAAATGCCAAAAAATGCCAATATATAGTATAATTTTGGCCCCTTAACACCCCTTAGCAGCATAAAACTGCCTCAAATACATGCTACATATCTATTTCAATGAAATACATTGATATAACATCAATTATAAAATATAACTGGGGCTAATTTCACAAAATAAGCAAGTAACTGAAAATGTCATTTTTTCAGATGTTACCGTAAACAAAGGGTTAATTCGGCATGTTGTACAAGGTTGCTGCAACTACAACATGTCTTTTCATAAACTAGGGACCCATACGGTTAAAATGAGACCAGTCCCAGCTTGTTATACCTCCGGTAGGGGTGCACTTGATTTTTTGGGTCTCGGTCACTGCACTATAGGTTTCAGCTGACCTCAGGGTTAAACACTACAATCCCTCCCTTTTTCAAACGAAAAGATGATTTCAATTTGACGTTTGCTAAATATCAAATTAGAAACTCAACTTTACTTATACGGAGTTGGAATCACCCTGGTTAATATACAATCCAGTCTCTGTGTCTATAATTGACGCTGAGAGGGTCTATGCCCCCCAGGGTACTGCCGGAACGTACCCCGGGTACGGTCCGGTATACCAGAACGTACCCTGGTACTATCTAATATGCCAGACCGTACCTCGCCTACTCCACTAACGAGTCTAGGGAGTTGCCTACGACTGCTCCCTAACCCTAACCCTAACCCTAACCATATCAAATAGTTACCAGCTAGGGTACGTTCTCGATTCCGGTATACCGGACCGTACCCAAGGTATGTTCCGGCAGTACCATGGGGAACATAGATCCTATGAGCATAATTGACGTGGAATAGTAGTGATGGTTTTGTCAGGTACTGTTATGGAAATAACCTCTTTAAACCTACATTCTTGTAACTGGTATTCTAAGCCTTTTATAATACGATGTTCATCCTAACACTAGCATAACATGCTTCTATGTGGCTTATATTCAGTCAACTAAGCAATACAACTCTACAAATCTCAAACTAACACAAACAGGATAACTCAACTTATAACTCTATACTGTACTTGTACTAACTACTAACAAACTCTGTACTTGTAGCAGAGAATGACTAGAGTAGTAGAGATAGTCACAAACGGTTCAAATTAAACATGAACTTTCATATTTCCGTAGACTGACTAATAGTTCTAATCGTTACTATAAGGAATTATTCTGCTCTTATAACATAGTACTGATGTATATATATGTATATATATGTATGTATATCAAGAGCTAATAAACACCTAGAGTGTACAACGGGGAAATAGTGCTATTTCACGGCAATATTATTCTACTTTGCCTGCGAGTCTAGAATAATTTTATGATATTGCATTAAGCAGAATTCTTTGCTCTCTAAAACAAGACCAACCGCTTGTCAATACGATACTCTTAGGCTGAGATATTGGCTAGTAAACTTCCCCTCCCACAGGCCTCGAGGATGCGAGGCGGCGTGAGGCCTGTGGGAGGCATGATTACGCTCCAATATCTCGGCCTAGGAGTATTGTAGAGACAAGCGGTTAGTCTTATTTTAGAGAGCAAAGAATGCTGCTTAACGCAATACCATGAACTTAGTCTAGAACCGCATACAGAGTAGAATAATATTTTCGTGAAATAGCACTATTTTCCCGTTTTCCCGTTGTACACTCTAGGTATTTATTAGCTTTTGATAAACATATATATATATATATATATATATATATACTGAATCTCTGCTGAATCTAAATTTTCACAAAATTAAGGAATTTCGCAGAATGCATCTCGGAGCGTCTAAAATCAAAACCCAGATCCACCCACCTCACCCTCCCCCTACGCAAATGGCAAAATTTTGCTCACTGCGTAGCTTCAGCGCAGCACTTCAGAAAAGTAAGGGCTGGGAGATATTTTTAAGGGCTAGTAGATTTTACAGGTCACTAGCTCTGCTGGCTAGTGAACATTTTAGGTTAGTTTCAAGCCCTGCTGAGTTGTTACTCCTATGGGAGAGATGTGAACATCCTGTTTTGGAGTACGCCAGTTGACCTACTTTCAAGCCACACCCACTTTTTGGCAAAAATGGAAATGGCCATAAGTCGGTTCAGATTCAACGGATTTTGCTCATTTTTGGTATGTGAATGAATAAGGACTGGCCCCAAAACATATCACACAGGCTTTGATATTTTTTTTAAATTATGCAAATTAGGTAGATTTTAGCAATTTCACTATGCATTTCATTGTCTGCCTACGGTCAATGATAACTCAAGAACCGTTTGACCCACATGTTTCGAATTGCATACAGTTGTTACTCCTATGGGAGTGATTTGAACGTCCTATTTTGGAGCACGCCAGTCGACCTTGTTTCGAACCACGCCCACTTTTTGGCAAAAAATTGAAATGGCCACAAGTCAGTTCAGGTTCAACGGATTTTGCTCATTTTTGGTATGTAAATGAATAAGGACTGGCCCCAAAACATATCACACGGGTTTTGATATTTTTTTTAAATCATGCAAATTAGGTAGATTTTGGCAATTTCACTATGCATTTCAGTGTCTGCCTACGGTCAACGATAACTTAAGAACCGTCTGACCCACATGTTTCAAATTGCATACAGTTGTTACTCCTATGGGAGAGATTTGAACGTCCTGTTTTGAAGCACGCCAGTCGACCTACTTTCTAGCCATGCCCACTTAAATCGATAATCAAAAACCACAATGGCGATCATTTAGGTGTAGCGCCATCTCTCGCCCAGATTTCATACTTTCAGATCTCAAACATTTATTTGCGCATCAAAAATTACACATATATATAATTATCAAGAGTATATAATGGGAGATACACGCGGGTACACGCAGATACACGCACGTACACTCATACATTTAACAGCACAGCATATTTAATTTATTTATACAATATTTAATTAATTAGTCTAACTAGTATGTTATTTCTATAGTATTTACTGAGCAGTGGCCCCGAGTGGCTGAACTACGCTGACGTCACGCTCGGGATTACGAATCCTAGATACGGGCCTTAGCAACGACGAAACTAGGTTTCGTCGCTTGAAACTATGGTTTCTCGAATTATGATACAAATGGCGCGGTTGAAAGTGGGTTTCTTGCTCCCAAAACCTAGTTTCTTGCTCAAGAAACTAAGATTCCAGCTATAACTGCGGTTATAGGGCTAGAAACCAAGTTTCATGGCAAGAAACCTGGTTTTGTGAGCACGAAACCTGGTTTTGTGAGCACGAAACCTGGTTTCGTCGCTCGAAACTATGGTTTCTCGAATTATGATACAAATGGCGCGATTGAAAGTGGGTTTCTTGCTGAAACCTAGGTTCTTGCTCCCAAAACCTAGTTTCTTGCTCAATAAACTAAGATTCCAGCTATAACTGCGGTTATAGGGCTAGAAACCAGGTTTCATGCCATGAAACCTAGTTTCATGGCAAGAACCCTGGTTTCTTGAGCAAGAAACTAGGTTTTGTGGGCACGAAACCTGGTTTCGTGCGAGGAACCGTGGTTTCTCGAATTATGATACAAAATGTTTGCCATAGACGTGCACTGCAAATGTCCTGCAATGTCCAAACGTGTAATCAACAGCGGGTGTTCAGCTAGCTGCGGTGTCGATTGATGTACGGACCCGATTGTTTCATGTCTGCTATGTATGTGGCGCGCACTGACGTCGTGTGTGGAGTATGTTTATGACTGCGTAGGGGTGACGAGCGCCTGAGAGGGGAGCCCTACGTATAAGTCGACAAAATGAGTATGTCGTCATTTTCGTAAGTCGGCAAAAATACGCTTGTCCCAAAAGTGTAGACTTATGCGAGTTTTACTGTATATCTTATTTTGTGTTACTATGTTATAGTGATGGATTGTTGATGGTTAATTTTTCAGGGTGTAGAGTAACAGATGATATTTTGAACCTGGTTCCAAACCGGGAGAACTTTCGACTGGCATTGAGAGCAATAAAGCTGTGGGCAAAGAGTAGGTACCGACTATTTAAAAAATCCAATATAAATAATTGAAAATGTTAATTAATAAACAATTCTCAGTATAATTATTAAACGGCATCTCGGATACTGAAATCTGCCTATCATAGTAATAAATAGACATTACATAGTCACAGACATAATGTGTACATAGAAAGCAGATAGACACATACAGACCCGACACACAATCATCAACTGCTACACATTGACATATTTCTCCCTCTAAAATGATTTGTTTAATTAGCCGTTACTGTAGCGGCATGTGATATTCAACGCAAATTGTGAATATGGCATGAGGCTTTAAGAGCATGCAATTTTTCAATTTTCTTGCAATCAATTTTTGCCAGTCTCAATAAAGCAAAGACATAAAACTGAACAGGATGCCCGTGTAGGCACAGCAGGAGGTAAGTTCTTACTTAAGTTTTCTAGTTAACATTAACATTATAACTAACAGCTAATTGATTTTCAGGGCACGGTATCTACTCAAACGTGCTCGGTTTCCTCGGTGGTGTCTCTTGGGCCATGCTTGTTGCTCGCACGTGCCAGCTCTACCCGAATGCTGCTGCCGCAACTTTAGTAAACAAGTTCTTTCTCGTCTTCTCCAAGTGGCCCTGGCCACAGCCAGTGCTCCTGAAGCAGCCAGAAGAGAACAAGTTAGGATTTCCGGTCTGGGACCCCAGGGTAAGTCCCTAATGTGACCTTGGGAGTAATGTGCATTGTGAAAACTGTTAAAGCAAGTGATCTAATCCCCTGAATGATATAATAACCGTGCCCCTTGTTGTTGTTGCATGTTTATTGTGTAGCGTTATATTATATAAATATGTGTGTGTGCATGCGTGTGTATTATCATGTGTAATTGTGTATGATCTCAGTTATAGAGCTTTAAACCATTTTCCGTCACTGACCAGCTGACAGTTACATGGATGTGTTATTCAGGGTTTAGTATGGGTTTTAGAATGGAATGTTCATGAACATAGTATATAGTCTGACAGAATAGGGCATATGGTTTGCATGGAGGTATATAGTTTTTCTTACGTTCGTTTTCTTATGTTCTTGCACCAAATAAGGCATTTCTAACAACTGGCAGTTGCTCAGTTGTGGGGAATTTTATTTAATGTAGATTTATCCAAAACCGCATCATAAACAATTGAATTTGGATTAAATAAAACCTAGTGTCCAATAATGAGATGCCAATGCATGTAAAAATTATATTATACCATCATTTACGGATGCATTTGACATTTTGAAATAGTTGTAGACTAATACAAGCATAAGCGTCTGTGATTAGGCATGAAAGTTGGTTTTTATTTACCGTTAAACCTTCCCTTATGTTAAACACGCAAAATCCACGAAAATGAGTTTTATAGGTTACCTACAATTTACATTTTCTGGTACAATTTCAAAACAAAATCAGTTGGCTTTAATCATCCTCCTCCTCTTCCTCGTCATCAAAGGCTTCGTGTTGGACGACTCTAGTTTGTTCATTACAACATGCATCACTGCCCTGACAATTGCAAAACATTGTACACGCCAGTCTACCAATGTTACAACCACAGCCCTTGGACTTGCATGGACTCTCCGAAGAACAAGAACACTTGATGAGCTTGAGTATGTAATCTGGTGCTGGGGGAGTCGTAACAGGGAGAGTGACAGGCTGTAGGGACTTGTCCTCATCCTCATTCCTCATCGCTTACCCAGCCATATTTCGTGGAATCAAGGTCTGGATGCTCTTGTAGGGCATGTCTCCAGATGCAGCACTGATAGTGATAGTGTGCTCTTTTGACATTTTCTTTGAATGCTTCATTGGTGGGTGGCAGAGTGCACAGCTTTGGTGTACTTGTTGCTCCTTTTCTACCTGTCTTTGTTTTCCAAGCTGTAATTCTTGACTCAGTCATGTATGTTGCATCATGCATGTTGTAGCATGCTGAGACAAAAACTGGACTGGAGCAACACATCATCAAAGTCAGCAGTGTGATTCTCAAGGAGGCTCAAGCTGCATTTCCCTCCTCGAAGAATTTTCAACATCTTGCCCTTTCCGATCCAGTGGCACATGGGAACAGTGTCGCAACCTGTCAGGGCATGGGCTGGTAACATGTCGGGAATGATACTGGAAAGCTTTATCACTGTAGCACTAATATCCACAACAGCTCTGCCTTTCCATGGTGACTGCATTATCATAGGGATGTTAAGCCCTCTATCGAGGTAATGGTACAGCAACAGAACGTACACATCTGTGTCATCTGCCTCAACAATGACTTTCTTCTTCTCTTTTTGTGCTGCATATATCGCCTGTGCTGTGACGATTGTGTCTGCTTCTTCATGGTCTGTCTTGAGGTCTGTTCTCTGAATTACTAAGCCGTATGGAGAAATCTCTACAGGCACTTCATCTTGGCCAGTAATGACTAACGTGTGGGGATGGCTTCCCAGTACATCCATGTCACCTTTAAAGTCCTCACAAATAATTTTTGGATCAGTTGCTTCTTGTTCTGAAAGATGTATAAAATCTGGTTGTGTGGAGGGAGCGGTAATGATGCCTGTAATTGGAACACCCTACAACCACCTGGACCCCGTGCCTTGCAGGCTGAACACTTGGTGCTGTATTGAATATACCTGTCAAAAACGAGATATACATCCCCCATCCTTATGCGCTGTTGTACGATCCTTTCGAAACCCTCTACATAGTGGGCTACTGTTGCTGGCCTTGTATCACTTGAGGCAGGCCAAGGTACTTGCCATAGCAATACACCTCGGACAGTCCTGCTTCTCCCACGGACAGCTGTACGTGTGTAGCTCAGCAGTTGGAGACGCCAGGAATCTCTACATATTTGCACCAGAGAATAAGACGAAAAACATTGTTTTTCATGTCATCAACTTTTTGTCATTTACACCATATTACTATAGAGTACCGAAGTGTGACGTCACGTTGGCAAGACAACGTACGGGCTGGTTCTACACAAGCCACTGGCTCCATAACATTAACTGCGTGAAAATGTTGTACGTACGTAAAACACGAGTGTGTGCGCTGCACACAGCGGTAAAGCATCGGTAGCAAGTCGATCTTACAATATTTAATGAATTTAAAAAAAAATTTAATTAAAAAAAAAAAAATTTTTGTTGTTAATTTTTTTTCCCCGTTGCTTTTCACTTCCATCCTTTGGAAATCTATAAAAACTGCAATAATGACTCTCAGAATGATGGGTACAATCGGGTACAAAACACGACACGCAGTTAATGTTACCAGAGCAGGGCTCGAATTAACCGACGGCAATTGCCGGCGGTGCCCCTATCAATCGCCGTACTGCCCCTGAAAATCCAACCCGACCGACGGCAGTGACCTGCCTTGCCCTTTTCTGTAATTGCCGTCGGTGCCTCTGGCTAGACTGGTTCGCAGCCGTACTGATTGTCGCAGAGCGTGTACATTCTCTAGCAGAGCGTGAGGCCGGATACCAGTCTACCCGGCAGCAAAAACAATAACGTGGTATTGCTGCCAACCGCTGCCAGTAGACGATCGATAAATAGTGCACCTGTGTATGCCCGGGGTAGAACACGAATATTTAAATGCTGCACGCCCGGACTCGGCCCACGTGCGATTTAAAGCGCGGGAAACGACGCTTGCGCAAGAATGGCCAGCTGTGATCTGTAAGGTGTGTAGCTTGCTAAGTGCAGTAAATTTAGAGAAATTTTAGTAGAATTCATACGATGACACAAAGTTTTCCATAACAATGGCCTTGGTGCCCTTCTCAAATTGTGAGAGTTGCCTTGATGCCTTGTAAAATTGCCTCGGTGCCCATCCATTTTAGAGAAAACTAAAGGCAATTTCTCACATGCCCCCAAAAAATTGCCTTGCCCCTCTCGTTGCTTAATTCGAGGCCTGTACCAGAGCATATGATTGTGTAGAACCAGTAGGTCCGTTGTCATGCCACCGTGACGTCATCACTTCGGTACTCTATTATGTTCCAGGGGTTCCAAGTTGGGTTGTGCTGTGATATAAATGTCATACGTAACAGTTTTATACCATGCTTATTATCTTATTAGACGATTTGTAAATATTGATATTGTGTGCAGTGTTATTCTCCATTTTTACCTAATGTTCCTATTGTGTCCGATTATTATTAGTATGAATTAGTAGCACGATTTTGCAGTGCAGCGGGTACCCGCAGCTAGTATTAAATAAAGGGTGTGTAGAGTAAATTCCCCACCACTGCCAGAGTGACAGTTGGTGGATCATTGAAGTAGACTATGAAGGCAAACTTTTAGAGCAATTAAAAAAACTATATACCCAATTGCAAGGTTCAAGCAAAAAAGCCATCTTTTCTGCCGGACTAATAGTGGCTAAGGGATATAATTGTGCACTTTTTGACAGAAGCATGAAAGTTGGCCCACAGGTAGTTTAAGGTATTTACATTGATATGTGATCGGGTACCCATCTCCACTATAGCTCATAAGGTCTATGTCCCCCAGGGTACTGCCGGAATGTACCCTGGGTACGGTCTGGTATACCGGAGCGTACCCTGGTCACTATTTGATATGGTTAAGGTTATGATTAGGGTTAGGGTTAGGGTTAGGGGGTAGGCGTAGGCGACTCCCTAGACTCGTTAGTGGAGTAGGCGAGGTACGGTCTGGCATATTAGATAGTACCAGGGTACGTTCCGGTATACCGGACCGTACCCAGGGTATGTTCCGGCAGTTCCCCGGGGGATATAGACCCTCTCAGCTCCACTATATGGTATCTGGCCACCATCTTAAATTTTAAAAATGGCTGCCATTAAAATTCAATATCTTTCATATTTCAGCTAATATTCAACATAGAAACATGATCTTGGTGTCTAAACCAACATTATCAGGCTCAAAGAACCCATTGCAATAAAAATCATTATCGTTTGATGGCCGCCATCTTGAATTTCAAAATGGCTGCCATTTAAAGTGGTTACCATTATATATTTCTGCTTTTTCATCATTTAACAGAATAGAAACAATTATATGTGCCAACACACGCTTTCAAAAATATAGTCCTAGTATATGAAAACCACTGTCTGTGCGATTCAGATGTCACTATATACATGCTACCTTGCTATCATACTACACGGTATACATGCTACCTTGCAGTTACACAGCTTCGTGAATGGAAGACATGATGACTGACATCCACACTGGCGATTACAGACCTTCTTGCAGCCACAATGCACCAACTCATTTTGTGTGCTGACGAATACCTTTCCATCAGTGTCAGTTGATCTTGCACATTCTGACCAATAATGAAACAGTTCTTCCTTGTTCTGTTCTATCCTGAAGCAACTTGCCCAATTGTTGGAACAGGAGCTACTGGTAGAACTCTTTGCCTCTGTGTGATTCCGCCATGCTTTCTGCCTTCTCTTGTTGATCGCTGGAGACAATCAGCAATATACCAGTCCCATACAGTACCGACTGACAGTACCGAGTTGAGGGGTGATGTATGGAATGAATACTTGCTGGGCATATTCCTTAAATGTCTGACAGCCCCTGGTCTCAGCGCGTGAACGATAGCGGCATTATCTAACACTTTAGCAGCAACATGTGGAGCATTGAACCCATTCTATGAAGATCGATAATTAAATAGTTTGCTAATCACTTCAGTGATCCTTGTTATAGTTTGCCCATATCAGAAAAGGATGGAGGACATGCCTGATTCTTATGTCAAAGAAATTGTCACAGTTTCCTTGTCCGGCCAGGCATGCAATGTAGAGCCTTACAAAAAGACTAAAGTTTGTTTTCAGTAATGCAAATCTTTCCTTACTTTTTCATTTTTGCCTTAAAGAAGGTGAGCTGAAAAGTGGAAGTTTGTTGTTTTTCACAATGTTGCGGAGGGGTAATTTTGATGTATTTTTCAGTCGTTCCTCCACATATCTATTATATTGTGTTTTCCCCAAGTCCTCAACAGTATAAACCTTTTGCACTACTTCTTTATTCATCACATCTTTTGTATCCAGAGTCGGTAGGTCTCCACTGTCCTCAAGAAATGGGTCATGCATGCTCTCAATTGTTGATACCAATGATGAAACGCATCTTTGGCAAAGGTCTTCTGAATGCCATAGTATTGTTTACAATGTTGTGTTGTTATTTGTCATTTGGAGTTTGAGAACTATCTTCGAACTCCAGCACTACTCCTGATATCTCTGATATCACCTGAAAATTCGTATCTCGTACCCCATACAGGACATACAGCAATTTACGTACAGCAAGTGCAATCATGAGAGCACAACCACATTCAATGAGTCACGTACTTAAACTGACTCACTGAAAGAGCGCACGCTAGGCCTATGCTCTGATTGGCTGATTTGACTTGTTTGCCTTTGACAGGTGAATCCTTCAGACCGCTACCACCTGATGCCAATCATCACGCCCGCCTATCCACAACAGAACTCCACTTTCAATGTGTCCATGTCTACCCGAACAGTCATGGTGCAGGATTTTAAAGAGGGTAAGGAAACTGACCCTACTGATATTTTGTTGATCAATGTTGTTTAAGCTACTCCTGTTGGTGCTACTTCTGCTAGTTGTACTGCTGCTATTGTTGTTACTGCTGCTAATGCTGGTGATTGCTGGTATTGTTGCTACTACTATTTCTGCTTGTGTTGCTAGTAATGCAGCTGCTAGTGCAGTTATTGCTTCTGCTGCTGCTGCTGATGATGATGATGGTGATGCAGTTGCTCCTGCTGCTACTCCTGCTGCCAATTCTAAAATACTGCAGACGCTATCAGGGGTAGAAATTAACTTTAGAACAAGGGAGTCCAACGGACTCCCTACCCTCAAAAAGAGGGAGTCCGCAGCAAAATGAGGGAGTCCGCAGTCTGAGGTTCAAAATTAAAGATATTAACAATATCGCATGTGCTTATTTTTAAGATTCATAGCACCAATGGAAATACCAATAAAAAACTCAGATTTTCAGTGTGTTCGAACCAACTGTGCATAAAAAGTAGTTCCCACTATGTGTTGCTGCCATTCCAGGTTTAGAAATCACAGATAATATCACTCTTGGTAAGGCGGATTGGGCCAAGCTGTTTGACCCACCAAATTTCTTCCAGAAGTATAAGCACTACATAGTCTTACGGGCATCAGCTGCCACACAAGACCACCACCTAGAGTGGTAAGTGTCTCACCTGCTACTTGCAGCAAAATAATGCAATAAGGAGTGACAGTTTATAACCTGAAAACATTATATATATTTGTGTAAGTGGGATAAACATATTAAAATCATCGATAATATTTCTGTTTTAATTGTAGATTTAATGCTTATATTATGTTATCTTGTGATTTCATGTGCTTTCCTCTGCATATAGGGTGGGATTGGTGGAGTCAAAAATCCGGATTCTGATTGGAAACCTGGAGCGCAATCAGTACATTCAGCTAGCACACGTCAACCCTCAGTCGTTCAGTGACCCTAATGAAAGTAGCGAGTATGTATATCACACTGGGAGACATCATGTGTAAAAATTCAGCTCTCACTTTGTTCGTAGTTTCATAGTTTTCTTCACTTTGTGTAGGGAAACACAAGGAAAACTTTTCAGCGATGTGTCAACTGTGGCTGTAGAAATGTTTTGAGAATCTAAATTGGCAGTATTTGTATTTCTTGTATTTATTACCAGATTGAAGCTATTAACTACTGACTGACTGAAATTTCTTCAGGCTGTGACGTATATATATAGTAATTGAAAACTTGTTTCAGTCTTCCTTGCTAATATCAAGAGCATTTAAACTGTAGAAAGAATGATGATAACAGCTAAACACTTTGTAATGCGTGTGTACAAATGCTTATAATAATCAGATATTGGTTTGTCCATCTGCACTTCTAGCTGGAACATGGAACAGTTTGTTAGTCTTACTGAATCAAGCAAGCAGAGCAGATTATTATTCAAGTAGTAGATTGTCCAAACTCTGTGCATAATGTTGCTTAATTATACTAAAAATAAGACATGGTTTATAGTTACAGTTATTTGTTCTGCCATCTTTATGCTCTTGCTAATATGTGCTAGTACATATATTTTACAGCTATGAAGCGGGAAAAACCAATTAAGTATTGAGGCATTTGCTCATATATATAGAATATGATAGGTATTATTCAGAGTGAAGGGCTGCAAATAAAGACCTCCAGGATTCCTCCTGGTTATATTAATGTAAGTGTTTGCTTCTGCAGAAACATACAGTACCTATCCATGTGGTTCATTGGGCTTTCATTCCACAAAGTAGAGAATGTCAACATAGACCTCACATATGATATTCAGACCTTCACAGACACAGGTACTAATATTTCTGCAATGGTCTGATGTACGCATGTAGGAATTTATGTCTGATGGTGCTTGTAACTGCCGGCATTACCGTTAAGTACACATGACCTTCTCATGTACTTGAGAGTTGTTCATTTTTTGGAGTATGCATATAGCAGAATGTTAAGGGAATCATGCAGACTTCTGTTCATGTCTAATCAGTGAGTATAACAGTCAAAAAAAGTAATAGCGCCAAGCAAGTCAGAGTGTTCGTATGGACAGGTTTTTTTCTATAATGATCACCACTAACAGGCTTGGCTATATTTGAGTCTTGACTCTGCTTTTTGATCCCTGGTATCAGGGATCGCCAAGAGATATTATTTTCACAGGACTGAAAGACTTTTTGCCAGACTGAAAATATTTCGAGCATGTGAAACATGTACCAAATGACGCAATATAGAATATTTTGGTTGTAGAGGCTGGTTGGTGTTATTCCGTGCACTCTGGTTGATTTTTGGCATGCACTCTACAATAATGACATATCCCAATATGACATCAAGAATCATTTTGCAAATATCACATTTTCCGTTTTTATTAGCTCACCTTGACATCGTCAAGCTGAGCTATTGCCATGGGTCGTCGTCCGCCCGTCCGTCCGTCCGTCAGTCCGTCAGTCCGTCAACATTTCGCTACGGTCAACGATAACTCAGGAACCGTTTGGCCCACATGTTTGAAATTGGGTATAGTTGTTACTGCTATGCTCCCATATTAAACGTCCTATTTTGAAGCACGCCAGTCGACGTACTTTCGAGCCACGGCAATTTTTGGGCAAAAATGGGAATTGCTATTAGTCAGTTCAGGTTCAACGGATTTTGCTCATTTTTGGTATGTGAATGAATAAGGGCTAGGGCACAGGCACTTGGGACAGAGTCAGTAAAAACTGAAAATAATATGAACACACATTCACAAAATTACAGTTCTACTGTTGCGACACTGTATATCAACTTTCCTTCATAAAAACCTATGTAAAAACTAACGCCGAACGCTCCCGCGCTCGCCGCCGCGAGTGTGCTGTGTCGCCATGATAATAATATATATAGAGAAGGTAGGAAACTCCGTTTGCGCGATTTCCGACGATCACTCCTCGATTCTTTCAAATTTCACAAACTTGTCAGGCACCTACCACCTCCATCTTGGGCTCATTCTGCCCTCTATAGTCCACTGAACAAAACTATGTAACTACCGTGGCCGAGAAGTGCCACCTTGCTTTGTAATGTGACTTCAAACTCAGAAGTCCCGCCGTTCGTGCTGATTCATCAAAAATGTATACGATTCACGATTCCGATCGGCCCCGGTAGTCGAGGGCAACGCGTAAACAAATCACGGCAGTTTATGACGCGTCTCGCCTGCAGCCAATCGCGCTCCGCGGCGCCCTCGACTACCGGGGCCGATCGCGGGACTACGGCGCGACTTCTGAGTTTGAAGTCACATTACAAAGCAAGGTGGCACTTCTCGGACACTGAACAAAACTATGTAACTACCGTGACGATCACTCCTCGATTCTTTCAAATTTCACAAACTTGTCAGGCACCTACCACCTCCATCTTGGGCTCATTCTGCCCTCTATAGTCCGGCAAATTGCGCAAACGGAGTTTCCTACCTTCTCTATATATATTATCATCATAGCGTTCACAGCACACTCGCAGCGGCGAGTGCGGGAGCGTTTGGCGTTAGTTTTTTCATAGGTTTTTATGAAGGAAAGTTGATATACAGTGTCGCAACAGTGGAACTGTAACAGAGGGGTACGATTTGTGAATGTGCGTTCATATTATTTTTTTCAGTTTTTATTGACTCTGTCCCAAGTGCCTGTGGGCTAGGGGTTTTGATATTTAAAAAAAAAATTATGCAAATTAGGTAGGGTTTGGCAATTATATAGCATATTGTATAGACACAAACAGTCTGTGGTATCACACTCGTCTAGTTCGTTTTACAAGATTTCATTGACAATATCTTTAATGCATAATTGGTATTTCCTTTCCACCCTGATGATAAAACGTCTATATAGAGTTAAGTTTTACAAAACATGTCGGAACGCGCATAACCATTTATTTCAAACGCCATCGCTACAAAGCGGGTATAGCGCCATCTACGGTCACAAATAGCGGTTCATTTTGGTTTATAAATTATTATTGCGATATACAGATGGCAATCGTTTCTATAATGTACGTCGATGGTTGCTCAATCAAAACTGACTTCTTTTTAGCTTGGAGAATTGCATGAGCGTGCGTCCGTCCGTTCGTGCGTCAACAGTTGGGCACAAATCTTAACGCTTGACGTACGGTCACGATATTCGGAGCGTCGGGGATCGTCAAAACGAGTTGGGATGTCGAAGCTGGGGGGTCAAAGGTCAAAGGTCAAGAGGTAAAAGAAGGGGGAACATTCCCTCCTTAACTTAAGGTATAGGGAGGAAATGCAGAATTGCGGCACAAATCTAAATGGCTCGACCTAGGCTCGGGATAGTCGGTGTACAGCATCATGGTAGGAAAAGCCATCACTGTGCCGAAATTGGAGGTCAAAGGTCAATAGGGCACAGGGCAGATTTTAGACATTTTCTGAGGACATGGTCTGATGGAGCGATTGAAAAACTTTTTTGTTTCAGCGGTGACCTAGCATTTTTGTGGCTTTATTGAAAGGACCATGAAATGTAATTTCTGCTGACATGCGAAGAGTAAGTGTCGGATAACCTTTTGACCCTCAAGAGGTGGGTTAAACATGGATTTATTTACTGTTAGAAAGAATTTGACTGCCGTGTTTGCTAGTAGAATCTATACATGCCTGGATGTATGAGGCTACAATGTCACACTGAAATTTCAAAAGCTAAATTTGGTTGAAGAAGGTTTATGCCACTGACAGTACAGAATGCCATAGAAATTATACGATTTATGCATGTTACATGTAACGTATGCCACTGCCAGTGCCAGTGCATGTGGTGGTGGTACTGTGTAGTTTTTACCTGTGTTAATTAGTTACAGGTGGCAGCTCTCTATTTCAGCCTGTAGGCTTGCGTAGGTAAATGGATGTGTGCTTACCTATTCTGTCTTGCAAATAGTTGTTACTACTACGTACGATAGGAGCTTCCATCTTTAATCTGAAGACACTTAAACGTACGCGCCATCTCGTGGCAACTTTCATAACGATTCCCATGAACATTCCTTTGAGAATGTTCCTGATACCATCCCTGTGCCTTCCACTGTTTCGGCGTGTATGTGAACACATTTGGGACTAACAGGGTTTACTAGAATCCCACCACTCCACCACAGAGTCACCGCAGTAGACGTTAGATGAGCGCTGTCGCTCCGCGGCACTTGTTACTCACTCATTTGTGTCCTTTTTTGTGGCGAGCTACAGTGTCATTGACACTTTCATTGTGGTTAAATTCAGCTTTATTTTATTGACTCCCTCTGAATTGAGAGTCATTTATGATAAAGCCAAAACAAATTTCATTGGTTCAAAGAGTTATGCTGCACAATGCATAGGGGGAAAATATTATCAGGGCTCAATTTTAAGGTTTTTTTTGGTTGTCCGGAGGACAACCGAGAGAGTAGCATATGGTTGTCCCTCAAGAGTTTTGGTTGTCCGGATATTATTTTATCGCGCGGTGGCGTCACATTCACGCTAAGCGTGGATAGGCTAAGAGCTATCCAGTTAGTATAATAGAGATCAGTGATCGAGGCACGTCGATACTTGTTTAGGAATACACACTGCCACACACCAGTATTTGTCAAGATGATACTGCGCTCTCATTGGCTCACTGGATTATTCGGGAACCCGAGCGCTGGCGGAAAGCTACGGAAGTAAAAACGAGTGGCTCCGAAAACTGCCGAATGCGCGGATGAGCAGTCACGAAAACTGCCGAATGCTACAAACCGACAAAAATGATTCGAGTCGGCTTGGCGTTAGCGAGCTCAGGTTATTGATTTCATAGAGGTTGGACACCGGACAACCATGGAAGCAATTTGTAGTTGCCCGAGAGAATATCCAGTCGTCATGGACGACCAGACGACTGCAAAAATTTAGCCCTGAATATGACATCCGCCATGTCACGGAATTCACCGCTGTTAATTTGATAGATATTACAACAGACATGGCCTTATTTACTCCAAACTATATTTGCTTATATGCCACTTTTTAAATGCGAAAGTGTACTCGGCCTCTAATTTATAGGCATAGTACATTATAGTACGATAATAGTGCCAGACACACGGTCTGGTATAATTGAGAATTTCATCGGACTTGCCTATAATTTACCGACATTCAGTGCTGCCACTTTATACTTTTTTTAAAGTATTATACTTTTTTTTAAGAAAATGTATTTTTTATACTTTTTTCATGCATATATACTTTTAAATCCTTTTTTTGCCAAAGATGGTCAAAACTCATCGGACCTACATTTAGGTACACTGTGTTTTTAATGAGATTAAAGATGTGCTTTGCTAGTCTTGTTGCAGGAGTGATGCGTGCTCTGTTCAGTGGAGTGTTTTTGCTCTCATCTCTCTGCCGTCAGTGACCAAATGACAGACCATTGCAGTGTTTCCCCTGCATTGACATGAGCGAGGCGGGCCGCATTGCTCAAATTCTCAACCGCCACACAGAAATTTGTCCAAAACACCGCCTCGCTGACGAAACTTTTGATAACTTGAAAAAGTGATTCAACAGTCATACAACAGGGTTCGTAGCGGGTCTTCCAAAGTCTTATAAGTACTTATTTTGCCAAAAATAAAACAAGGGCCCTTATTAGTACTTATTTTTGGTGAAATCTTAGAAAAGTTCTTAATAGTCCTTATTTTGTCTCGACTTAGAGTAAGAATTGTTGTATATATAATACGGAATAATTAAATCTGCTGTGCAATTGTGTATATAAATATTGTTAGTGTACTTTAATAGTCGGTGATCTATCAGAAATCGCGTAAAAAGGTCTTATTTTGGCCTCCAGAAAGGGTCTTATACGTCCTTATTTCAACATGTGTCTTACTACTATGAACCCTGTACAATGTGTCCAGAATAGCTTAGAATGCACCAAATTGCACCATTTTTCAAAATTTTCCCCTTTGAGCATGCCCCCGGACCCCCCTAGCTGGCCAAGCACATGCACTGCTCACTGGGCTAGGACCTCGCAACACACAAACACACCACACAAAAATTAGCGCCTTACAGACCTTTCTGGCCAAGGGAAACACAGCATTGAAATATTCCAAACTGAGAATTCAAGAGACAACTCCTCATGACATTGCACACATCATTCCTGAAGCTTGTTTACATGCTGCACATAGGCTATAATGTATTCGGTAATGAGGTATAAGGTAACAAATCATGGTAGGTTGATACAAATTTATACTTATTTTAATACTTTTTTAGGCAATTTTTATACTTTTTTCTGGACAGATTTTGTACTTTTTTTGTAATATCCTGAGTGGCAGCACTGGACATTGTCCGATGGTCAGACAGTATTGGTGCACGCTACTACCTCGTATTGGTTTAACACGGGTTGTATCTTATTCGTGCGCAGTGCATCGGCAGGCAGTGGCCATAAGCATGTACAAGGAAGGCATGAAGATAGAGGCAAGGCACGTGCGTCGAAAGCAGCTAACCGAGTACCTACCCTCGAGCGTCATCACGCGTGGACGTGAGAAGCGACGGACCCTTGACAAGGTGTGCAAGTGTGCGTGCGTGCGTGCCTGCGTGCGTGCGTGCATGCGTGTGTGCAGTAAGGATTATTGGGGCATGCTACGCTCTTGGCTAAGAGTCTAGATGTGGGTCAGTGACGTATATCCATGTTCATAGTCTATAGTTTTCTCGAGCAACACACATGGGTGCACTTGCACGTGTTCTGTTGATATCAACTGTGTTGTCAGCCTTGATTTCTGATGGTAGAGTGTTTTGTGGTTTGCAGGATGTGTCAAAGGTGATGCCCAACAAGTTAGATCTGGGTGAGGAAACAGTAGTGAGGGAGCTTCACACTAGCAAGTCTGACACAGATCTGCTGCGAAAGCTTGCAACAGGAGCTCTGTCAGGTGCATTTTTACATGCTCTGTGCACGTGGAAAGGCAGTGCTGGCCTCACTGTGTTTATAGTACAGTACAACTCCATTTAATATTATTGGTAACCATTTCATCTTTAAAAGTGTATATTTTTGGTACTAGTCCTGAAAAGAGGTATCTAGAATTGCAGTCATGGACATCTTTTACTTATGAGCTGGAAGATGTGATGGAAGTAAGCGATTGTTTGGTATCTAGACAGAGGTAATGGAGTTGTTACTAGCATGAAATTTGTGAGAAATGATGTATCTTTGCACAATTTTCACTCAATTTTAATTACATTTGTTCAAATTTGGTTTCTACTGCACTGATTTATTAGAATCTATAGAGCCAATAATACATGGTTTGCTCATTTGTAGCTGTGCCATTTATAATTTTGAAATGTACAAGTTAAATGTCAGTAGTTCTGCAGAGTCTTTCTGCATTATAGCATGTACTGCAATGTTCTATACTCACTGGACCTTTACCTCTAGGTGTCTCCACCTACAGTGAAGATTCCGTGTCACAAGACTCGATCTCACCAGGTCCTACGGTGGGTGACCAGTCAGCGCCCCCTCAGGAGGTGCCACAAGAAGCTGCACTCACCAATGGTGCAGCACCACCATCAGAAGCCCCAGTAAAGCTGGTAAGTGTACTGCAGTTGTCTTTATCAAAATTAAAGCATTACACATCCCTTACACATCCGAGCGGACGTTAGCCGTTATTTTCTATGATAATTAACAAGTTATAATTTAATAATTAATAATTTGATGTTTATTCAGTAAAAAATTTTGAAATTTGTTCAAATCATATGTTATCTACATTAGTTAGGCAATCAGCAAACAATTATAACTAGTGTTTTATTTCCAGGAGCTATTTGCGCTAGCTTAGGCGTGCTGTTACTGTGTTAGCGTTCTCAGTCGCATCATTCTATGTGTATCTGTATGCCGAAACTTTCTGCGAGAGTTTTCAAAATGGTCAATTTCGGAGCACATTTCTGGCTCAATGAGAACATTTCGTGCTGTTTTCATACTGCAAGTCTGCTCACAGAAGGTGTATGTAGGCTTTTTGTTGCTAGGTTTATCCATTTTAAAGAGCACTAACATGTTTACCCTTATCTAACATGATTGGGTGTGTGCTGCTACAGGTGCTGTCAGACTTACAATGAGGTCATGTCGCATTACATCGAGCGTGAGCATTGGCAATTCGGCTGGCTTATTATTTATGTTTTACTAGCACTTGGGCGAAGAAGAGCAAGAGGAGGATGATGAGGAGAGGGATTTACCTAAGCCTCCACCAAAACGACCACATTCCCCAGGCTACGAGGCCCCGGTGAAGCGCATAGAAATAGAGACAGTGCGAGAGAAGGGAGATGAGGGGGCAGATGCAAGCATAGTGAGTACGCAGGCAAGTTGTAACTGGCCACGAATGGTTCGATGTGTATCTCAGTTCTTGTGCTGCTCAGCACTGACAGTGCATGTGTGGGGTTGTTGTCTAAGCTCACCTATGAATAACATAAACGGGGTGCGGGCCTAGGCCCGATGTGTCTTTCAACATTCTCTCCAGTTAAAATTGTCCTGCATGAAAGTTTTTATTTTCTAATACAGGTAATATTATGAAAATTTGTGATTGGTGTTTATTTATTTTAATCTACAGTCATTACATGTGGTGCTTATAATGATGATGACAGTATTGGCACTTGGTGTTTATTTTTCCCTCATTTCACCCTGGTTACTTATGTTCCTGTCATTGATATTAATATTATATTATTAAAATTATTGACTTTTTCACTATTAATTTCAATTAAATAGTGGTGTATGTAATGTAATTGTTCATAGTTGAACTGGTTATAGGGATAAATATAATTCAACCTACTCTAAGCACTTCGTCAGAAATTGGTACAAATATGTGCAATTATCATTCATAGTAATAATTAAAATGACCAAAATTTAGCCAAAAATAATGCTGAATGCCAGAGTTTCATTCTCTTTTCAGGGAGTTGATACGTCTGTGGACCAAGATTCCTCCATGCAGGTAGATGAGGTAGCTATGATACCGGACACCCGCACTGACTCGTCCGTGCCACCCCCCAGCCTGATTATAGATAAGCAGGTGTGTCCGAACTCTTTCACATTGTATTTACTGTTCCATTTGATTCCAAATGCTATTTAACAGTTTATTGTTTTGCCACAACATGACTCATGAGGTATCATCAACTAGGACACCTTGTTATACCCCCCGCCAACGAAGTTAGGGGGGGGGGTATTCTGGAAACGCTTGGTCGGTGTGTCTGTCTGTCTGTGTGTCTGTCCGTCCGTCTGTCCGCCACAAGACTTGTCCAGACATCTCGAAAAGTACTGGACTGATTTCAACCATATTTGGCACACATCACCAGTACCCAATGTAGTTGTGGACCTGCGATGAATTTTTTTTGTCCGACATTTTAGGAAAGATTTATGGCCGTTTTCCGTAATTAAACCCATTTGGTTATATATGACATGCCACTGCCATCTAGTGGATGATTTCTAAAGCTGGGTTTACACTAACGATTTTATGCAGTCAAGTTGCCATTTTTCTTCTTTCTACCAACCTCTTTATGTATGTTCAAAGCTCTTACATTATCGACCGCGAGGCGGACATTATCGACGCGGATACGCATTTTTGCATGTATTACATGCCGCCAGCGTGGCACCTAAAGCAAAAACGTGTGCTCCCCCTAGGGTGGAGGGACACACCCCTGATTGCTGTTCTCTGATTGGCCACTTGGCTAAAAAACGTCCAACTCGCCTGCTTCGAGTCGGTGAAACGTTCTAATTTCCCGACTCGCTGCTATCGATCGGTTGGACGCACGACTTTTGCGTTTACACTGGCGATTTCAGTTGCCAAATTGCTAAGTTCGTACAACTTCTACAATACACATACAGGCACCATAACAGCTCAAAGGCTACAGACCGAGGGTATTTCTTATTTATTAATTTAAGAGCAGAAGGATTGCAATATCTTATAAACGACATAGTTTCAGTTATAATATGGATAAATTTGTCCTAAGATGAACATCGTTAAATAGCATTTAGGTATAAATGTAATTGCACTTTTGCGATTAGCCCTCGGTTTGTAACGTGCAAAATAAATTGGCAAATGCACAACTTTTTCAGGGTGGCAGTGTGATCGCGGGTGTCATGTCAGCGCCCAAAAATGAAGATTTCGAGATGAGTGTTGTTTTATGACAAACGTGAATGCGTAATTATAGATATTTATAGGTATTATTTATAAATGTACTATCATAATATACTCTCAAATTCTAGAGGAAAGTATCCCTTTAAACGTGTGCGGACAGCACAGCAACAGCGTCACTGAAGTTCAAATTGGTGCACACTCGGTAATCTGTGATAAAATTAGCCAATTACATAGTGCAACAATGAAAAGTTTTGTACATTTTCAACTTCATAGACGTTTTTTTTAAAACCTCATTGTAAAGTAGCAGAAAATAATAATCTATTGATGAAACTTACTTTCATTAAAATAATAAAAGATATTTCCACAAAACTACAGATTTCAGCTAATTTATGTTCATGCCATAACGACGTGTCAGGGTGCGAAATTAACGCGAGTCTGGAGTCAAATACTCCCTGATTTACTGTCGGACTCCCTGATTTGACATATACAAGAGTCCGTGTGACTCCCTGAAAATTCTGCTATACTCACTAGTTCGTTCCAGAGCATGGCCTCGCAGAATTACCTTCTTTTTTTTAGCAAATGACCCAAGCAAATTTGGCAGACGTGCATCGCAAAGGTCCTTTTTGTTAACATCTGTGGTACTACTTGTATACTGCGGACTCCCTCTTTTTGATGGCAGGGTGTCCGTGGGACTCGCTTGTTCAAAAGTTAATTCTACCCCTGACGTGTAGATGTATACGCAACGATGTCGAGTCACTCTGAAGCCGCTTTATAATTACTACTCCGCACCTGAGTGGCATTCTTTTTAGATGTCAATATAGGATTGAAAAAAGAACAAGGTGGCATTTGTCTTGAGTCTATCTCATCAAAATGTTATTGTGTACAAAATGCTTGCGTAAAACAGTACTCTGATTAGATAGACACAGGGATTGGATGGATATAGGGGAAATGCAGCTTCAGAATAACAAGTGCTGCAGTGCGACAGGGGTCATCTGGTGTCTGGTGTACTGCTGATAAATGCATTTGTGCATAGCAAGACGTCTTATACATAAGTCTTCTTTATTCTTGTTTGACTTTCGTAGCCAATTCAAATAAATATATCAGCAGGACTCTGTAACTACACTTAATGTGTAATTAAACTGTCGCACCCACCTAATCTATATGGGCTAATTATAATAACAAAACCAATAATAACAATTCAAATACAATTTAATGAATGTCACTGACGTTGACATGAAAGATTTAAACATATGAGCATGGATTACAAAGTTTATACTATTGACTATAATTAATCGAATAGAATGTAATGAATGACATTGACATTGACATAAAAGATTTAAACATATGAGCATGGATCTCCAAGTTTAATTAGAGGGGGGTTGGGGTTCTTCCCTTCCACCTCCCTCCCCACTGCGTCCCACCTCCCTCCCTCCTGCCTGTCAGCTTCCTCCCCCTGCCTCCCACGTCACTCCCCTTGCCTCTCACTTCCACCCCCCTTACCTCCCATCTCCCTGCCCCGGCCTCCGACCTCCCTCCCCCTGCCTCCCACCTCCCATCCCATTGCACACCGTTTCCCGTCCGCATACACGCCGTATCACCATTTTCCTGTCCCCGTCTCAGTTTACTACTCTCTCTCTCTTTATGTTTCTCTCTCTCTCTCTTAATTAAATAAATGAATAAAATAAAATCGCTCGCGATGATGCCTTTTACCACCCCCTCAATAATACTTCGTTCCTATGCCCCTGAGTGTAACAGCCATAGAAATAATAATATAGTGTCTCTATATATTTAGCTCACCTTGACATCGTCAAGCTGAGCTATTGCCATGGGTCGCCGTCCGTCCGTCCGTCCGTCAACATTTTGCTTCGGTCAACGATAACTCAGGAACCGTTTGGCCCACATGTTTGAAATTGGGTATAGTTGTTACTGCTATGCTCCCATATTAAACGTCCTATTTTGAAGCACGCCAGTCGACGTACTTTCGAGCCACGGCATTTTTTTGGCAAAAATGCGAATTGCCATTATTCAGTTCAGGTTCAACGGATTTTGCTCATTTTTGGTATGTGAATGAATAAGGGCTAAGGGTTTTGATATTTAAGAAAAAATTATACAAATTAGGTAGGGTTTTGCAATTATATAGAATATTATATAAACACAAACAGTCTGTGGTGTCACACTTGTCTGGTTCGTTTTATTGACAATATCTTTAATGCAAAATTGGTATTTCCTCTCCACCCTGCCGATAAAACGTCTATATTAGAGTAAAGATTTACAAAACATGTTGGAACGCAGCATAACCTATTTATTTCAAACGCCATCGCTACAAAGCGGATATAGCGCCATCTACGGTCACAAATTCTGATTCTTTTGGTTTATAAATTATTGCGATATACAGATGGCAATCGTTTCTATAATGTACGTCGATAGTTGCTCAATTAAAACTGACTTCTTCTTACTCACTCATTTGTGTCCTTTTTTGTGGTGAGCTACAGTGTCACTGACACTTTCATTCTATGGTAACAGCATATGTTCTCACAACTGGTGCACAGATATCTACGGCCATAGCTACATGATACATGTTAAGATTCAAGATGAAAATTAAATATATATTATATGGTACTAGTTATTATTTATTCGTTTAACAAAGTTACATGAGAATAAAATATAATTTAAACTAGGCCTGTAGTTGCCGCGAGATGGCGCGTGCAAGTGTGATCAATAATCAAAGATGGCATCGCCCTTCGTGCGTGATAAGCATAGAAATAGAATAGAAGTAGAACGCTCACGCCCATTGTCTTAGGGCGCGTTTGTTTGGTCGCATCCACGGATCTCGATCCGATGGATTCGCTGATCTGACTGTTTGGTCGGATCACTTGATCTCGATCTACCGAATTCTACCCTGCTAGCGAGGTGGATTTGAACGGGATAGAATATGGCGGCCCGCATCTCAGCCAATCACAATTTGTTCGTTGTTATGAACCATCCCGTGATAGGTCACAGCGAAACGTGAACTGGTGAAAGTGAGTTTGCGTTTGTTTGGTCGGATCAGGATCACATGATCGCAATCCGACGTATTCGTCCCAAACAAACGCGCCCTTAGTTCACGCGCTTGGTGGCATGCTTGAGTGAACACGCCGCCATCTGGCCGCCCCCAAGCGGTGCGAGTCTAGGCAGCTCAAACCGTGTGTTTACAGGCTGTATTTAATGAAGGTTGATCGGAATTTTCTCCCAGCAAAACCTCACAAGATGTCTTATCTACCTCTTAAACAAATTTTAATACCCAATGCAAAGAAAATATGATAAGAAAGTAGTGTAGTTGAATGCCAAAGTACCCGTTAAAGGAATAGTAGGTCCATCGATTATACAAAGTTGACGAATGCTACAGTAACTGGCACCTTGTGTAGTTAATAAGTACATTACCTTATAGCCAAACGCGTATTAGTTTGTCCAATATCACTGCTGGTTACAAAGAAATGTCTAATTGAAATCCGTAAATTTGGTAGTCTGGCGCCAACGCTAAATTGCTTGCCAACCAAATAAGCCTCGATTTCGGTTCGGTGACATCACATGTTGCTACAGAATGTTGAGCAGCGAATTGTTTGTCCCGGGTAAATTGTATGCCTAGTGACGGCAGTCGTAATCAGTATCGAGGCACAAGTAAATACCCTTGGTTGCTAATGAACGGGTACCCACATGTCTTCAATTTCGGACACAGGTGTATTCGTTTGACCAATATACGTAAATACGCGTAGTGCCGTCTGCTTCCCATGTTTAGTCTATGGCCGTGGTTAGTTCGCGATCCCCACATAGTGTTGTCCCCCAACATGCACAGCCTACTTCATTATCACGAGCGTCCGTGATTAGTACGTGGATTCCATGTTCATTACAATCAGAGCTAGCGTAGGGCCTACTGTTACGTATACAGTTACGGCACT